GCCTCCCGGCCTCAGAAAGCCCGCTCCCCTTGCCAACATCGGGGGTCTCCCAGCTCCAGGAGGCGCCGGCAGCAGCCGAGCCCCCCACTCCCTCCCCAAAGTGAACAGGTAGCCAGGCTGGAGAGCCACCGCGGCACAGCCAGTGTGCTCGGGGACCGCGTGTCCCCAACTGTAGAGCAAAGCACAGCATGGAACGGACGTGGCGTGTTGGGAAGGGAGGGGTCACAGAGCTGTGGCGTTTCTAGAGCAGGTGGGTTGGGGACATGGGAGCTCGACCCTCAGCTACCTGGGAAGACGGTGAGGGACTGTCCCTGACTCCGGAAGAGAGGCCTGCGGGCGAGGCTGACACCGTGAAGGGTCGGGTGCGGGGGCCCAGAGCTCCGACCCGCCGGCCACAGCCACGTGTGAAAGTGTCAGGAGCCTGGTCACCCGTTGGTGCCAGCCTGCTGGCGTGCACTCCGCCTTGGGGGAGTGTTTCTCCCACAGCAACCGGCAGACGGGGACCCACCGCACTGCTCCCCCTCTCCCCCTACTCCCCACCCCCGCTGGAGGTCAGGGGTCACCACACGGAGGCTCAGGGTCACAAGGGTCAATGAAAAGCAGCGCCGTTTGGCGTCGGTTGTCAGCCCGGTGTGTGTATCCCTGTGAAGAACATGGAATGCAGTGACGGCAGGCGGGCGCCGTGCTCCCCGCGCCCCGCATTCTGATGGGCGTGGGCCGCGACAGTGCCTGCGCCACATTCCCCCGGGGACGCCGGATTCACGCGTGGCGCTCCACCGCGCTCTGCCCGCCCCAGGAGCTGCGGCTCCTGCGTGCGCACCCGCTGAGCCTTTTCCGTGACCGCCGTCCACAGGCCGAACGGAAGAGAGAGTCCGGTCCCGCGGCGGCTGACCCCCCGGTCTGTCCCCACGCCCGGAGCCCCCGTCCCCCACGACCCCGTTTGAAAATGAATGGCCGTGGACAGACGTACACAAACACACTCACCCTCACACTCACATACTCACACTCAACGTCACACTCACAAACACGCATACTCACACTCACCCTCACTCAATATCACTGAACTCACACTCACCCTCACACTCAACCTCACATTCACACACACTCATACACTGCCACTCCCACTCACACTCACACTCAGACCCACCGTGTCACACCATCTTTTCAGAGCTCTCACTTTGACTTTCTCCACTGACGACCGCCCCCCCCTGCAGTGGCTGGTGTCCCAGGTTCCTGAACGCTAGATGTGTGGACCTATCGATTGATCGCTCGCCTGCTCCCCATGGGGTCCCGATGCCCTCCCCCCCGTGAGCCCCCACGAGTTTCCCTGCACAGTGACTTCCCCAGGGGCCCAGGCAGCCCAGGCTCAGTCTCCAGCCGTCGGCCCCACCCCCCTTTCCGTGTTCCCTGCCCCCTCTGTCCCTGTCCCTCCTGTCCCTGCCCCTCCCTGTCTCCCTCTCCTATTTCTGTTCCTCCCTCTGCGCCTCCCGTTCCCTCCCTGTCCACCTTCCCTGGCGCTCTCTGTTCGCCTCTCTGCCCGTCCCCTGAGCTCCCGTCCCTGCCCGTCAGCGCGGGCGTCCCCCGGGCACGACCCAGCATGTGTCCTCGTGCCCGCAGGCGGCGGCGTGTTGCTGGTGGAAGTGGCCCTGGACGAGGACGCGCGGGAGGCCCGGCCCGGCCTGCGGCGCTGCCTGCACCGTCTGCTGACAGGGCCCGAAGCGCGCCCCCCGCCAGTACCGACGCCTGCTGGAGCGACACGGCTTCGCGGACGTGCGGGTGGCCCACACGAGGGACGTCCTGGACGTGGTCCTGGCCAGCAGGGTCGTGCTCTGACGGCAGCCAGGGGGTCGGGGGTCCGACGGCCGGCCTTTCCCGGATGTGGACTGGCAGCGGACGTCTCCTGGGAGGCCGGGCACAAGCGCACACATTAAACACTGAGCGGCTCGGGCTGGCCGCCCTCGTTTCTGGGGCCTGGGAACCGGCAGCTGCAGGGTGACGAAGGACCGCCCTGGGAGCCTGGGACAGAGCAGGGCCCTCGCCGGATCGCTGTGCCTTCTGCCCGCAGCCCTCACGCTGCAGTGACCGCCGGCGCATCTCACCCGCGCTGTCACACGGGTTTTCGGTGGGTTTCCTCCGTGCCCCGTTTGTCCCCGTCCTGTCCCAGCTAGTGCCTTGTGGGAGCCGTGCTGCGGACCAGCTCTTTGAGCACACTGTTTCCCCGTCACTGCAGTGACCAGAAGAATAGCTCTGCGGGCCCTAACCGACATCTTTAGGAAGCCGGTGGCTCGTGCAGGTGGATGTTCATTGTGTCAAGATGACGGTTTATCGCGCATGTCCCCAAGCTACCCATCTGACGCGCCTTTGTGTCTTAGGAATGTAAAGACCGAGCTCCTACACGTGCTCCTGTGGATTAGACGTTATGAAGTGTGCGGCAACTTACAGTTTGTGGAGCTTTTGTATAGATGCACTATTCCTGGATAAAACGCCCCGTGTCAGCCGGGACACCTTCAAACAGGGCTCCCATGGGTGCGGAGGCTCTCATGCGGAAACCAGCAGGTCGTTAGATGCACAGGTAACTTATACAGACATAACGTTCTGTATAAGGATATATTTTAGGTAGAATATAAAAATTATGCATACTTTACACGTAGAGATACAGATGTGTAAGCAGCTTACACACTTATGTACGTTATGTATTATTAACGTGTACACAGACACAAACATAAAATTTTAGATGCACAGAGTTTGTCCCCACACCCATGACTGTGCCCTTAAACCAAGCAGCCACCCGTGGGACACCCGCAGCTGGGACAGTGACAGGCAGAGAGCTGTGGAGGCCGAGGCAGGGTCCAAGGGCTCAGCGCTCACCGTCCCTTTGCGTGCTGGACCTTTGCATAGAAGACTGGTGAGGAGAGGCCGTGTCCTACATACGGCCGGTCTTTTCATTTATTAGGGACACGATGCAAAAATAGTATTTCTGGGGGTGGGGCTCGGGCCGCGTACGCGTGGGGGTGCACGCGTGCCTGTGTCTCCAGAGTGTTTCTGCTCTTCAGGAAGCACAGGGATTTCCAGGTCGGGCTTCCGTGCCTGAGCTGCCGCCCGCCCTCCGGGTGGCATTCGTCCAATCGTTTGTTCACTCGGCAGACACCTGAGCGACGTCCACGCGCGGGCCTGTCTGGGTGCCTCGCCGGAGAAACGGGCAGCGCGTGCAGATCATCTGCGTCGGCACGGCCCCGGTCCCAGCCCGTTCCCTCGCGGGGTCCCCTGGGTCTCCGTCAGGCACCACACCCTGCAGACCAAGCTGCTTGAAGGCAGGGCCTGACCGAGTGGCCGTCAGGCCCCCGGACTGACTCTCACGGGGCCGACGACAGCACGGCTCCCCCCGGCCCACCCCGCTCGCCACCTGATGACTGTGAGCCAGCAGCTGAGACCGGAAGTCCTTCAACACGGGCCCCCGTCTCTGTCAACCCACCCTTTCTTCAGACAACCAGATACTCTGCAGACACGGGGGCCATCAGAGGACCTGCTGGCCTGGTGCCTTTCATCACCTGTGCGACTCGTGAGAAGTCTGGGGACAGGTCTCCCGGCCCCCCCGCGGGTCTCAGAACTCAGCCCTTGGACAGCGTGCTCCACCAGCCCCAGCGCCCTGCACCGTCCTTTCCCGGGTCCCCATGCTTCTTGGTTTTCAGTGCCCGAGGCCCTGCTGCCCTCCCTAGCAGAGCAGGGGGCCCGTGCCTCTCTGTTTCCCACACACACGCACACACAGGACGAACAAGTGGGTGTCTGAGTCTCACACCCACACGCAGTGCTTTCTACGGCTCTGTTCCGAACCCCCGTTTGCAACGAGGGGAAGAGCCCACATCCATCCATTCATTCCAGAACCATTCGCGGAGCACCCGCTGGGTGCCAGGCCCAGGTGGCCAGGGTCCCTTAGGTGCTCAGAAGAGCAGGGGCTCCGTGCTGACTGGTGGGTGGCCGTTTGCAATGCAGGCACAGCACAGGCCCGTGACAGGATGGGGAGAGGACCTCTCAGAGCTTCACTACCACACGGGCAAGAGAGATGACGGGCCTGTCCTGCCACACAGGTCTCACGGCCCTGAAGCTGTTCCAGGGCCGCGCGTCCTGGAGTCCCAGCCTGAGCAGACACCAACCAACTTGGTCCTGAATGAGCAGCTTCGGCTGGCTGGCCCCTGCTGGCCCAGTGAGCAGTGACTCTTGTCTCCAGAGACCGTCCAGGCCTAGACAGGCTGGTCCTGTGACCAAATGCCAGGCAGGGGAGATGCCTCCTCATCGAGAGTGCAGACACAGCCCTCCGCCCCTGAGCAAACTCCCTGCCCCACCCATGAGCCATGATCTCCTGTCCTCTACTCCAGAACCCCAGGGAGGCTGCTGGCATCAGCCGCACTGGGCTCTCCAGGCCGTTGGCTGCCGGCTTCCTCCTGAAGCCTCCAGATTGCGCCAGGACCTCCCAGGCAGTACCCACAGCGCTGCTCCCCGGTCCACACCTCCGACCCGAGTGACTTTTGAGCCCCTCTGACCATCCTCTGCGACCTGGCAGCCTCAGGCCCCACCTCTTACCTACCTCTCCCTGGTCAAGCTGGACCCAGGAGGGCATGTTCAAGGACACTGGCAACTGGCCAAGTCACCTGTGTGCCACGGGCGCTCCTGGCTGCTTATCAGCCTCCAGCCACCATGCAGTACCTGGGGATTTCACCTGCTGGCGGGGAGACAGGAGACCAAAGAGAGAGAGGAAAGGGGGAAAAAGGATGAGAAAGAGGAACGGGCAGAAAAAAGCAGCAGAAGCCTCGACTGTGCGTCTCTACTGCTAGGACGCTTTCTGGACTTGGCGCGGCTCACAGCGCTGGATTCCGTCTCTGACAACGCCCCCGGGGCCCCCTGACGGCTCCTGAGACACTGAGTTACAATTCAGCAGTTTACAATGTTTCAGAACATCAGGGCCTCCAGAGGCCCCTCTGAGGGGATGTGTTACCCGGTGTGCGCTGAGTGTGAACGTCTGTGCGCTACTGCGTGTGTGTGTCAAATAGGGAGCACACCTGCTCCTGCCCCTCTCAGGTCCCCCACGTCGCAGCCCCTGGCCTGACACGGATACCCCGAGGCCGACAGGACACCACAGGCGGTGCGGCCAGGCGTCACGGGGTCACGGCGGGGCAGGGTCCTCGGGTATGGGGAGTCATCGGATGCACATGGGACGGGCAGGGGGCGAGCGAGCCCGAAAAGCCGGCCCCAGGGGCGTCTCAGGATGAGCGAGTGTGCGGGGCTCCGGGCGCCGTAGGGATGGAGGGCCCGGACCACACGTGTCGGACGGCTGCATGCTCCAGCCCTGGGACCTGCGACCCGACGCTCCTCCGGCGGAGCGACTCGGGGGTTTTCGGAACAAGCCCGTGGGTCCGCGGCCGGGCTCATCCCCCTCCGCCACTGCCCCTTCGGGCCGTTCAGGGCCTGACGTGACCTTCACAAGGTCACGGCGTCCGTGGAGGACTCCCCGGGCCTGCACAGCGGAGAGGCGGAGCCGGGCT